ATCTTAAGCTAAAACACTTTCATTTTTCTAACAGGGTGGTTCGCCTTTGGAATGGACTGCTTTCAGATGTTGTAGAGACTGTAAATTTAAGTGAGTTTAAGAAAAGGCTTGATAACTATATGAATGATAAGGGCTGGCTTTAAAATTTGTTTAAATTATTTTAATTTAGTTTAGAGGATGGAACATTATAAAGTAAACTACTGCATTTTGTTTGCAGTGTATTTCATACATCAATGTCATTATGTGAATACGGTATCACATTCATAAAAATATATTCAATTTACATTATAGCTTATTTAACATAATATTACATATCTATTAAATAAGGAAAATAATTTACACATGGGTCCGGCATGGCCAGGTGGCGTTCGACTCGCAATCTGTGGGTCGCGATTTCCAATCCCCGTCGCACCAAACATGCTCGTCCTTTCAGCCGTGGGGGCGTTATAATGTGACGGTCAATCCCACTATTCGTTGATAAAAGAGTAGCCCAATAGTTGGCGGTGGGTGGTAATGACTAGCTGCCTTCCCTCTAGTCTTACACTGTTAAATTAGGGACGGCTAGCGCAGATAGCCCTCGTGTAGCTTTACGCGAAATTAAAAACAAACAAACAATTTACACACATAGTACATTTATGATAAAAATACACATGGTAGTTATATAGAACTCAGTATCTTTCTTTATTTGACTACAGATCGTATATATACATAGTCCTCTCTTTATTTTCTATGTATCTACTATATGTATATATTCCTTATTTTTCTACATACCTAATAGATTTAAACTTCCTTACCGAACATTGGTTTTTCCACACTAAATCTAGTCCCTCCAAAGAACCTTTTTGAGCAGAGTCCAGTGCTACTATACCAGCATTGTTAACTGAAGAGAAACAACATTGTTATTGTTCCTGCTTTCCTCTGACATTCCTATTAATTTATCTTCTTCGGATTCAAAATAAAAGTCGTGTAAAATATTAACTGTATCACAAAATTTTATACATTTGGGTTTCTAGTGCTTTGCCAGCTGTGAGAGTTATAACCGTAACTTCTAATGTTGATTGATTTTGTTACCAGGCCACAATTGCTTTGACGATCTATTTGCGTGAGAGAATTTCTATTTTCTCCCCACCTCTTACTTTTAGTGGGTACAGGGAGTTATTTTATATCCATGATCTGTAACTATCAAGGTTCAAACATCCGATTCTTTTGTGGCATTTCAATTAAAGAGTGGTGATTGACAAGACCAGATGAATTCTAAGGAAGATTATACTACAGAATGTATCCTTATTCCGAGATTATCTAAGCGTGGAAAGTGTTTTATCTCTCCAAAGAAAGGATTTTTTTTGGTATTTAACTATTTGGTTAAAGCAAATTTAGGAAGATGTACGAAAGATGGCTGGTATTGAGTCATAGAAGTATGTCGTCACATTGGACAGTGACTGTAACAAAACTGAAGTGATAACTGCATAAAGTATATGGGGTT